ATAATAATACCGACAGATCACTTAAAGTTTCATTTTCCTATACACTTTCTTTATTGCTTTTTATTTATGAACTTTAGAATGATTAACAATGCATAGAACATTAGAGGCAATAGGCGCAAGTGTACATCAGGGGCTTGTTTTTTTAATGCGGTTTAACGCGGAATAATAGGCTAGTATTGTGCGCAACACGTGATTTTTGTCAAAGGAATTTATTGCTTTGTTTTACCATCCATTTTTTTTATTTCTTTTCATTTATTAACTTTAAAATAAGTACAATAACATTAGCTTGTTTTCGACACATCCAACGCGGATCGTATTTATGAATGAATATTTAAACTTAGAGGGCTTACTTTTTTGTAAGCACCTGCCCACGCTTATTCCGGCAAAGTAGTTAGACGTTTATAATATGTGTACGCACAGGTCTGAGAGAAAAAAACAAATAATATATCGTGCTGACATCCACTGAATGTTTCGTCTTTTCTATTTTTAGAATGAATAATTATAATATAACAATATTCGAGGGGCCGGTGACGAACGGGCGGTTCGTGAACGGTCCTGTGGCAGACCCGCCACCGCCGTTCGCCATACGCGGGCCTCGACCGGCACCGCCGCGCGCCATCCACGCGCCGTGACCGCCACCGCCGCGCGTCATCCGCCGGCCACGACAAGAAGGCGAACGCCAACAGACGTAAGTAAATAGGTGATAGGTACATTAAAATGTTTACTATTAAGTAACGCTTACATCGTGTTTCAGGATGTTATAGGTGCCAAATAAGAGGGCACACGGTCCGGCAATGCCTCGGTAAGTGTATATCGCAGTTTAATAATAAATTAAAAATGATATTAATAATGTTTGTTATATTTATAGCGCCCCACACGCCAGCACGTGAGAGGCAGCAGGGACCACCAGCCATCCGACGTGGGGGCGGATCGACCCGGGGTTCGATGAGGGTGAGGCCGCCGCGGAGTCTCGCCGAAAGGTCGGCTTCCGCGGCGCCCACCCCAATCGCGACGTCGACCCCGACGTTGTCACCCGTAAGTAATATCTTTAATCCGAATAGCGCTAAATAAATACAAAATTGTAGGATATGAATGAAAGTGGACCAGCCCACATGTGGTATTGGATAGACCACAGCAAGTTGTGAATTTGAGAATAGCTTTTAATGCCATGTTTAAAATGGTAATTCTATGAATTATATAAATTGCAGACGTTGTACCAATCGATGGCTGGGAGGTCTTGTGCCTCGGCCATGGACAGGTTGGAGGGGCTGATGTTAAATACTGTAAGTTGTCAATTGGAGAATTTTATTTAATGCCATTATCCTAACAATATTCTTTTCCCTTTAATATTTTGCAGTTGCGATGAATAAAAAACTTTTATTTTCAAATGTCTTGTTTTTATTTTCTACCTTAATATAATAATCATGGTCAACACATTAGTTAATATTATGTGTTAGGTTTAACATTTCAAGAGGTCTGATGTAAGCCGGTATTTTAAAATATGTTTATTTGTGTAATTATGTATTTAAATATTTTTTGCCACTGTTAGATGTGTATAAGAGCAATAAGCAGTGTAATACAAAGAACATAGATAAATACTAACCAATATTGATGTATAATGTAGAGCCCGGATTTATATGCATTTAAAAAGTGTCAAATATGATGCAAATATGCAAGGAAAAAGAGGCTCAATATGCAATTATATGCCATATGTTATAAAATGTGATATTTTTTTAAAAAGAAAACACATTTTTACACCAAGGAAAGTAGGTACTTGCTAGATATTCTATCAGAAACAAAAGAATAATTAAATAGTTAAACATTTAATACTTTAAAAACCAAAATGCAATATTTTATAATCTTAATTTTTTCATATTTTAGATTGTTTATAATACAATGTCTAAAACTCTCAGAAAACTAAAAAAAAAAGAATCAAAATAAAAAAAAAATTGTAAAATTGATTTACTGCTTTATTCATTGCGCACGTTGAATAGTAACAACATAGTAAGCCGAAATTCGGGTGTATGTGATTTATTGTTGTTAATATAATATTATCTACCTATTCGTGCTCCAATCTCATGAAGTGTAGCAAAAATGATAATATTTAAAGAATAAGAGACCCTGTCAACGATTTTTGTCTTTTAAAATTACTAAAATGTATTTATCTTAAATTAAAATAGATAATTTTTGCGGAAGTATTGCGAAAGCAGTCCCCGCGGTGCCGTCGGTTTAAACAGTAAAAAAAAAAAGGTAATTTATTAAAAACCCATTAAATATGCATGTTATATGCATTTATGAACCAATATGCAATAATCCTCTAAATATGCAAAATATGCAATATACAATTTGGTATTTAAATTCAGACGATACAAATAAAACGTTAGGTTGGGTTAGGCTATTAAATATAATAAGTGTTCATCATGAGTCGTCTTGCAATATTTTTTTTATTCTTACATAGACGTTACAAATTATCAGAAAATTACATAAGTAAAATACAGTAATATTAGCTTATAGTATTGAATTGTGTGAAATAGTAGTATGATAGGTATGTAATAATACATAGTGATGATACAATTAAAACGTTACGTATCAAACGTAAAAATACAGTCTACTTGTGATAAAAGGTATTACAACTACTATTAAATAGATACAAAGTAAAAACAAATGTAAAATGTTACTTAATATAATATTTCGATTGTTATAAAAAGTTATTCATACAGACACGAATAGGAAAGTAATAGTAGAGAGCTTATAATAACAATAATTGGTAGTTGAATACCAACTATAATAATATTATATGAACAGATATTTAGATTATTATAAAAAGTTAGACATAATAGTGAAAACATATTATATTATATTAATAATAACAATTGGCGGTTATAAAGTATAAAACAAAATGTGAAATGTTCCACAATAGCACAGTGTAACAAATGTAGATACAATCACAGTATAGGATTGTGAATATAATGTCAACTATAATAATATTTATATTTTATATTAACAGATAAAAAGTTATTCGTTCAGACATAAATTGTGGTTAAAAGTTATAGGCATAGACATAAAAGTTAAAGCATATTAAAGTATATTAAACTTACAATTAATTATAATAACAATTGGTGGTTACAAAGTACCTACCAAACGAAATGTAAGAAGTTACATAATATATGTATTTTCAATCGATACAATCATAGCATAAAATGTAAAAATTCTACTAACGGATCTTGAGATTATTAAAAAAATTTATCCATTCAGATGTAAATAGCAAATTGTGTTTAAAAGGTAATATTATATAATCAAAAGTAAAAACAAATTAAAAAAGGTACATAATATATTGAAACAAATTAATACAATTAGAATTAATATAGATATATTCAAAGTTACTCATACAGACATCAATAACAAATCCATTTTCTAGAAATAGCAGTTAAATACTAACAAAACATATGAAAAGGTTAAATAAATGCTTTTTTACATTACATGACATAGACCATGTATTTTGAAGTAGGTATAAATGAATTTATTATTGAAAAGTACAATATTATGAATATTATTTTTCAAATCCTGACAAACCGTTTGACATTAGTTACGAATACACCTTTAAGTATTCGCATCCAGAGAGACCACGTGGAGGTTGTCAAACTTTCTCTCCGATTCACCTAGAAACCTTGAACATCGAGTGTCACGTAAACTAGATTATTGAGTGTCACCTAGACTGGATCATCGAGTGTAACCTAGACTGGATTATTAAGTGTCACCTGGACTGGATCATCGAGTGTCACCTAGACTGGATTATTGAGTGTCAAATAGATTGGATCATCGAGTGTCACCTAGACTGGATTATTGAGTGTGACGCTAGACTTGATCATCGAGCGCCACCTAGACTCGAACATCGAGCTTCACTTACAGTTGTGAACACATAATGCATTACAGAACCTCTGTGTAAACGATGTTCTTTGTGACGAATCGCCCGCTGTCATCGGCGTACATGCCGACTCTCACGGACTGTGCGTTTCTCACCCTCGAAAATGCCACGTACAGCTGCCCGTGAGTGAACGGGGGCGTCGTCAGAAGTAAACCTACCCTGTCGAACGTCTGACCCTGCGACTTGTTGATGGTCATGGCGAACGACAACCTCACCAGGAATTGAGTGCGACGCATGGGAATGGGCAGGTCGTCCTCACCGCTGGACGTGAGCGGTATCTTGGGCAGGACGATGTCGTCGTCCTGTGGATCACCGCCCAAAGTCCTCGCCTTGAAATTGTGACGTCGCAGTTCGGTGACCACCAACCTGGTACCGTTGCACAGTCGTCTCCTCGGATCGAGATTTCTGAGCAACATGACGATGCACCCCACCTTCAACTCGAGCCGGAACGGCGGCAGGCCGTCCGGTACCAAAGTGTTGAGGAACTCTGTGGGGAAATTGGCCACTTCGTCGGCCGCGTCCACCTCCGCGGTGTCGACGGCCTGTTAGGTCTCCGAATTGCCGTCGACGCGCTCCAGCACGTCCGCGTTGATCAGTGGCGGTTCTGGCATAAAATTTTTGAGGAGGCAACAATATTGTACCCTTCTAGACATGTAAGCGCAAATCCCCCAATTCTCAAAACTCATTAATTTTGTTTAAAAACAATATATTTTTTTAAAAATCTGTTAGAAGATTTTCATCTTCACTATTTCTTATATTTAAAGTACCTATCTAGTAAGTTACGCTTTGGTATTACTATTTTCTGTCATAATAATATATAATATACAATATACTATATAGGTATGTAAAATTTAAACAAAACTGAGACACATAAACCTATTAAGTATCTAGTTGAAAGTTACAAATGATGCAAAAGAAAAATTTTCAAAAAATAATTCAAATAAAAAAATGTATTTATCTAAATAATAAAAAAATGTGGTTTCTAATTTAACTAGTGTCTTTCTAGTAACAAAACTTAAGAAAAATAAAATTAAGCTGATATAAATAATTAAGAGTATAAAAACAATATTATGCTTTATAATTTATATATTAATTCAATAGTTCTATCTTTTTTACTGGCATATATATCAATAATGTCTTCATAAAATGGTTCATTTTCTTTGAGCTGTTGGATTAATAATTTTTCAATGGATATTGTAGACAAAGAACTTAAACGCTGTTGAGATGTACTGTTTCTTAAATAAGTCTTAATACGTTTCAGACAAGAAAAACTTCTTTCGACAGAAACACTAGTGGATGGAATGGTTAAAATTAATGAAAATAACTTATATACTTCAGGCATAACTTCCTTTAAGACATCTTTTTCAAAAATCTTGATCATATCATAAATGTGTGGTAGGTTATGATAATTTACGTTGTTATACAACACTTCTAATTCTACTTTTAATTTGTCCACATTATGAAAAATATTAGAATAGGTTTTAATAAGATTATCTAAAGCACAGGTGGGGAATATACCACAATAATCTTTAAATTTTGAAACGTCAGCTAATTGTAAAAATATTAATCTGTCAGTATCATTAAATCTAACATTTAACTGCATTAAAATACTATCTATAATTTCATAAAATAAAATTCTATAACTTGATTCCATATTGGCATTGTTTCTAGAAGGTTTGGGCAATTTAGTTAAAGCAACTGCATTATTAAATATTTTTAAAAATTCTGTTTCGTTTCTTCTGTTTTTTATAAGATCACATACAATACTTATTTTCCTTAAACAATATTCTATGTCAAATGATTTGTTTTGCAATGTGTTAAATAAGTTATCTGTAATTAAAAATATACCACTAAATATGTGTGCTAAAAATGCAAATTCAAAAGATTTAAGATTTTTTAAATGTCCAACTGAACCTTTAAATAGAATCAGCTGATGACTTAGCATAATTTATTATAGCTTCAAAAACTGCTTTAAAGTTAATCCACTCATTAACTAATAAATGCAAAATTTTTGATCTAGATGCCCACCTTGTCTGTACAAACTGAGGAATGCGTTTACCTATAATACTGTCAACTACATTAGTACGGGATGTTGAATTGTGAAAAAAAGCAGATATTCCAGTTAAATTTGCAAAAAATATGCGACATATCAAGATATTTTGTTACTATTACATCCATGTTGCAAAACTAAATTTAATTTATGTGCAAAACAATGAGTAAATAATGCATTTGGTGCAATTTCTTTTATTCGAGCTTGTAAACCATTTAAATGCCCAGCCATTACACTAGCACCATCATAGCATTGACCAACCAACTTTTTTTCAGTACTAAACTCTTGGAAAAGGGAAGTGATTAAATTAAATAAACCTTCAGAAGTATGGTCTTCGCTGACATCATAAAAACCAAAAAAACTTTCAACCAACTCAGACTTATTAGTTATATATCTTAAAATTACAGAACATTGTGTTTTCTGAGTTATGTCTGTAGTATTATCGACTTGTACAGAATAAAACATGGTCTGTTTAATTTCATTTTTAATGTGATCAACTAAATATTCTGCTATACATGAAATTATTTCATTTTGTATGATTTTTGATGTACCTGTAAATTTATTCTGCAATGATTTGTAATGATTTTGTACTTCTAATGAGCATCTACTAAAATGTAATTCAACTAACTCTTTAAAATTGCCTTTATTTGTAGAACTAGAACTTTCATCATGCCCGCGAAAAGCCAACTCTTGTTTAGCCAGAAATAATACTAAATCAATTATGTGTTCCATGCATAACCTATTTAATCTTACATTTTCATTATATCGCAATTTAAATAATTTTCCATGTTCACTTAATATATCTATAACACTAGTAGTATTTTTTTCTAAATTTTTTAGATTTAAATAATTGTGCACATGGTCTTTGGAACTTTCGTGTCTCAGAATACTTCTGGATAGATTTTTAAAATCAGCGTATCCTAATGTAATCCATACAGAATTTGACTGACTTAATAAAATGCATGGCCAACAGAATAATCTTTGTAAATAAAAACTTCCACACACCCAAGGATGTTTAGTATATACAATTGGATTGAAGGACCTACAAAACACTTTTGAGCCATTTTTGTCTGCAGACAAATATGTCAGAGCAGGAGTAGGTTTACCTTGCGCAAGCAAATCATTTTTGTCATATGTACTCCAACGTCTGTAAGGATGTTCTAATAGCAATACAACTGGGTCGTAAATTGGATTCATAATAAATTATTAAAAAACAACTTATGGAACCAACTAACAAAGAAAACTAATAGTACTTTACTACTTTATTCGTCGCTCACACTCACTGTAGTACTGTACCTATCACACAGAAAATACAATTTAAATCATACAAACAATTTGTTATTACTTATTAAACTATTGCTATTGATAATAACTTATTAGTGATAACGTGCAATATTATGAACTAAAGAATAATAATAATTAGTTGTACAATAATATGCTGAATGCCTAAATTCTAGTTGTTCCCAAACCTAGAGAATGATTAATCGTCAACCACTGAGGCGCTGCAAGTCACAGCCTGTGACGTTTGCCGACGGAGGCTACGGTTATGTACAGTCTCCACAGAGAATCGCGCATGCGCTGTTCCCATATTTTATGTGCGTCTGTGTGTGTACATTTGTGTACACATGCAACGTATCGATAACGGCGGCGGCAGTTGCCTCCTGAGAAAGTGGGTAGCCGCCGCCGATACGGGACGCATGGAGGGGCAGCCGTACTATGTAGACATGTAGTAATACAGTATATCAGTAGGTATAATAATAATATTAAGATTCGCCAGTTGCGCGCGGGAACTGGTCACTGGCCAGTCTCTTACTTATGAGTTAAGTACTTAAGTTATGAGCATCACGGTCTTGTTTAAAGACCGAGAACGGGCATGGTACACTCCATGTCCATAGTTCCTTCGATACATAATTTAAATATATATTTTATTTATTTCCCTTTTATAATATTGTCTATATTTGAAAATATAAACACACAACATTTTATAATTTAAATAATATTAACCATGTATATTCTCTTATTTTCAAGGGAGGCATTGCCTCCCTTGCCTCCCCGGGAAAACTGCCACTGGCGTTGGTACCTCTGCACTCTTCGTTGGTGAGACACACGACGACTCTCCGAGCAAATTCGTCGATGTTGGCCAACGACATTTGCTGCGGATACACGAAATCGATTAAATCGGCGACGTCGCACACCATTTCCTGCGGGATTTGCACGGTGTCCGGAACGCCGTCGACCGCGGGCAGTTGGCCGTTGCCGAGCTGAAGCAACCAAGACGCAAAGTCCGCGTCGTTGCCCGCGCGCATGTTCTGGACCAGATCGAAGCGCTCCATGACGTTCCAAAGACCGTTGTTCTTGATCGACGACATGGCGATATCGGCTCTTTTCCCTCTCCGGATCACGGGAAATATCTGTCTGAAGTCGCCGGCGAACAGCATGGTCTTACCGCCGAACGGTACTAATTGCTTATCCATGACGTCCCTGAGCAGGCGGTCCACCACCGTCAGTTGCAGTCCCGGCAGTGTTGCCAGGTGTGGCGATTTATCGCCAAAGTGGCGATTTTGAATGATTGTTTGGCGGAGATATTTGACTTTTGGCGGGTGGCGGAAAAGTTGGCGATTTTCGATTCGAAGTGTGAGATTAATGGCGACTTACTACTATACTACTATAATCAATGGTAATAGTGGTAATACTTATCACAATATCAGAAAATTGATGATAGGCATGTTTTTATCACATTTGACTTTTGGCGGGTGGCGGAAAAGTTGGCGATTTTCGATTCGAAGTGTGAGATTAATGGCGACTTACTACTATACTACTATAATCAATGGTAATAGTGGTAATACTTATCACAATATCAGAAAATTGATGATAGGCATGTTTTTATCACATTAATTTTGTTTAAATAAGTTATAAAATATATTATCAGATTTATTGTTGCCTTCTCAACATTTTAAATAGTTATTTTTAAACAATTACAATGATTATCAAGGGAAAACCTAGTCTAAGATATGTTGCATATACATATCTGCTACATACACATACTCGTACGAAGTACGTAAAAAAAAAATCACGCATTGAAGCCATTGAAGGTTTATACTTTAAGCGTGTCAGCACTCAGCCCGCAGCCGTCAGCTTTTACTCGCTAGTCCTGAAGATTGAAAAATGGGTAAAATTGAAAAACTCAGAAAGTATAGAAAATCATGGGAAAATGAATTATGGGCTAAAGGTATGTGTTAATATTTTTAAAACATAATATAATCGGTCAAAACTCAAAATGGACTTTTTGTCTCCACTGTTTCCAGAATTTTCGTCCTGGATTCAATATAACCAGATCAAAATTAATTTGTATAATTTTCTTAATTTTTAAGGTTGGTTAGCACCAGCTGATTCAACTGCGAACACAGTTGCAGAAGCTTATTGTAAAGTATGCCGTTCGTTTTTGAGAGCACATGTAACCGATTTGAAAAGGCATGCAAAAACAAAAATCCACAGTGATAACATGGTCCAGTTGAATCCAATGAAAAAAGATCAGTCTGTATTAAGTAACATTGTTAAAATATCTAACGAACAAAAAATTATAGATTTGAAATTAGCTGTCTATGTAAGTACACACACTTCAATTATGAGTGTCGATCATTTGGGTGAAATATTGAAAGTGCTTGGCAAAGGTACTGCATTAGCCAATTTAAAACTTCATCGAACTAAATGTTCTTCATTGATTCAAAATGTAATCGCACCAACCTTACTTGAGGAACTTGTGCAAGATATTGGCACAAATTATTACTCATTGATTATCGATGAATCCACTGATGTTTCCGTATTCAAATACTTGTGCCTATGTATTAAATATTTTAGCTCTAAAACTGAATCTAAAATTATTAAATATTTAGGCATTATAGAAGTTGTGAATTGTTCAGCTGATTCACTGTATGACTGTATATGTAATTACATGCAGGTGATAGGTTTAAATTTATCAAAGTTGATTGGCATAGGTACTGATGGTGCAAACAACTTATGCGGAAAATATCATTCACTTTTTACCAATTTAAAACAAAAAAGTCCAAACTTGCAAATCGTAAGATGTATTTGTCATTCTTTGAACAATGCAGTTTCAAAAGCATCAGAAAGCTTTCCTAGTACTATTGATTACCTTTGCAGAGAAGTGTATAACTGGTTCCATATAAGTCCAAAAAGAAGGGATGAGTATAAACAAATGTTTGATCTTCTTAACTCTGGCTTGAATAAAAAGTTCCATAATTTTCACCAGATATCTGGCACACGGTGGCTAGCACGCAGTTTTGTCGTTAACACCATTCTAGAACACTGGCTAGAGCTTAAAACTCATTTTTCTCTTATGGTGAAAAAGGAAAAATGTTACGCTTCACGAATTATACATGAAATGCTACATGATGACACTAATTACCTTTATCTTATCATCATAAAACCCATTTTACAAGAATTAAATTCCTTAAATTTAACTTTTCAAAAGAATTTTGTGGATTTTGGAAGGTCCTATTATGATATTTGTTGTTTATTTATATTTTTGGCAAAGAAAATTATAAAAGAATCTGTAGTGTCAAAAGGATTTGAATATATATATAACAATATTAATAATGATTCTGTATACCGACATTCGAGCAATTGTGATTATGGAGTGGGGTATAACCAGTCAATAATTAATATAAATTTATCTCAAGAAAAGAAGTCTAATGTACAGACACAAGCTTTTAATTTTATTAAACAATTACTGTATGAAATAAAAAAGAGATTGCCCGACAACATTGAATTTTTCAAGAAAATGAAATTATTTTCGCCCACTTTGTGTTTATGCCAATTGCATGTAAATTTTATTGATTTACCTTTTGTTAATTTATTTTTAAAACCTTCAGAGATTGTATTGATAGAAACACAATGGGAAAAATTAACAACAGTAACTTGGAAAATGTACTTAAATGAAAAACAGTTAAACGATGCCAACTTATTTTGGCCAAAAGTTTACAATTACAAAGATGCGGGTGGTAATTTTGCATTTAGGGAATTGTCAGAATTCGTTCTAAAAGGTCTCTCATTGCCTTCAAGCAATGCTGTGGTGGAGCGAGTATTCTCTATAATGAATACAGTAAAAACAAAATCCAGAAATCGTATAAATGCAAATATGTTGGATGCTTTATTAAGAATAAAAACTACATTTATTTCTACGAAAACATGTTGTACAGAATTTGTACCACCTAAATCAATGTATGACAAGTTTAATTCAGAAATGTATAACAAAAAAAATTATGTGAACACTATAATTAATAATGTTGAATCATTAGACAATGATTTTAACGATGAATTAATTAATATAGTAAACGAAATAAGTTTACCTGATTTTTATTAAACTTGTGTTATAACTATAATGCTATATGTATCAATACTATTAAAACTGCTAAATAATAATTTGTATTTACTTTTTTGTTATAATATAAAATATAAGATGTTGTTTTATAAAAAATGTATACATTGGTCGAAAGGACTTATAATTTTTTTTTTTTGAATGTTAAGTTTATAAAATATAATGTTATTATGTGTTATAACTTATAACTATAATGCTGTATCAATACTATTAAAACTGCTAAATAATAATTTGTATTTACTTTTTTGTTATAATATAAAATATAAGATGTTGTTTTATAAAAAATGTATACATTGGTCGAAAGGACTTATAATTTTTTTTTTTTGAATGTTAAGTTTATAAAATATAATGTTATTATGTGTTATAACTTATAACTATAATGCTGTATCAATACTATTAAAACTGCTAAATAATAATTTGTATTTACTTTTTTGTTATAATATAAAATATAAGATGTTGTTTTATAAAAAATGTATACATTGGTCGAAAGGACTTATAATTTTTTTTTTTTGAATGTTAAGTTTATAAAATATAATGTTATTATGTGTTATAACTTATAACTATAATGCTGTATCAATACTATTAAAACTGCTAAATAATAATTTGTATTTACTTTTTTGTTATAATATAAAATATAAGATGTTGTTTTATAAAACATGTATACATTGGGCAAAAGAACTTATAATTTATACTGTTTATACTGTTATCATTTTATTAATAAAGTTTTGTTTTTTTTTCAATCATAATTTGTTTAGTTTGGTTCCGTTTAAATAGTTATAATTTTATCTTTATTAATAAAGTAACAAACTGACAAAAATGCCAAATGGTGTTGGCCAAATCCAATAAAGTGACGTCGAAAAAAATTTTTTTTTGAAATTTTGGCGATAGATGGCGATAATTTTTAAAGCTTAATTTTGGCGGTAGATGGCGTTATTGGAAAAGTAAATCGGCGATTTCCTTATCAATAATTCTGGCAACACTGGGCCGTCCAGCGAACCGGATTGTCAAGGCGCGCTCTCTCGTCTTCCCGACACCGTCCGGTACACACCCGAACCACACACACGTTCCGTGTATTTTCGCTACCGGTTCACAATATATATATTAAATAAGCTCTTTTGTTTTTTTAATAATAAAGACTTAGTTTACACCACAGTGCGTCGTTTGTTTGTTTCTTTTTGTTAATAATTTGTTTACTATCCCGTCTGTTGTTTCGACCCGACTGTCTCCGTCGGTCACCACCATCACCTCACCACACCACGCGGCACAATAGAAGTCCGCGTCAACTGGCTCCCCGAACAGGAATCACCGGTAAGTGAAAACTATCTTACCACTCACTACCACCCACATATACCCCCCGTTGCGCGATTGGAAAAAGTCCCGGACGCGTTCCGGCAAAAACGTGGTTTTTGAAAAACTGAAAAACCGGCGTTACGTAATATATTACATAACCATAAAGGACGTAACGACCGGCCGCGCCGCCCGACTTTACGGACGCACCGACCGCACCGCGCGCGACGCTCCAAACACACACGACGTAGGTAGGCATTAGGCAGGAACGCAAGGGGGCGAGAGGGTCTAACCACCACCGCCCAGCACCGCCACTCGCCTACGTCAACACGCGATGACCCGGGACAAAAATACCACGTAATCGGACCGCCGCTGCTTAAAGCGACAGCCGCCGCCTTCCCTAATCGCAGTAGTGCACCGGATAACGCACACACGCGCATCCGCGAAAACAGTCTGCGAAAACCGGTTACTGTGATCGCCCGGCAAGCGCAACAATAACAATAACAACCCACTGACCTACATTCTGTACGCAAATAAACACCGATAAGCGGGCAACACAGCTGATCGAAGGAACGCGATACCCGTTCCAACGACAACAGCCACATTTTATATCTCCTCGTCAACAACACCGGAAAACCAACCGGAAGTCATGCCGGGAATGTGCTTCAGAAATGTGCTTCAGATAAAGGTTTAGAGAAAAATATGATGGTTGGATTTTCTTCAGACACAACAAATGCCATGGCTGGAAAATTTCATTCTGTTTTCACAAATTTAAAAACTGCTATACCAGGTATTGCTTGTATTAAATGTTCTTGTCATATGATTCATCTGTCTGCATCCAAGGCGTGTCTAAAACTACCACGATCTATTGAAGATTTATTGCGCAACGTAGGCTCTCATTTTAGTAGGAGTCATTCTCGCCAAACCAAATACAAAGCCTTTCAAGAATTTTTTCAAGTGGAAATACATAAAATATTGTCACCCTGTACAACTCGCTGGCTGTCACTAAAAGCATGTGTTGATAGAGTATTAGAACAATTTTCTGCTCTCAAAGAATATTTTAGACTGGTTAATTTTGATGATCCCTCCAAAACATCAGAATTAATTTATAGTACTATGGAAAACTCATTTAGTATAATATATCTGGAATTCATGTCTTATTCACTTGGTATCCTGACAAATTTCAACACTTTGTTTCAAGGTGAAGGGCCTTTACTACATTTACTAAAACCTGAAATTGAAAAGTTGTTGAAAACAATAAGTATGAATTTTATGACTATTGAGTATATAAGAAGCCTTGACTCAATCATGAACGTTGCGCCTAATCTGTCACAATATTATCTTCCTTTTAACGACATTTATATAGGTATATGTGCAACTGATTCGATAACAAATTTAAAAAATAATAACGTTGTTAACTCTAATGAAATATTTAAGTTTTTTAAGTCATGCCAAGAATTCTATATAGCACTTGTATTGGACATAAAAAAAAGATTTATATTTGACGACTCTGTGTTTGATTGTGTAACCGTAACTAATCCGTCTTTAGTAAAACAATTCAAAACAAAATCTTTAGCTAATATATTAAAAAGATTCCCAGTATTAAATAATTTCATAGACAATGAACAAGAATTGGACAAGGAATGGAGGGAACTAGCACTCATAGAATTAGAACCAATAGAACCATCAAATCCAAACGATATTATGGAATACTGGAGGAAAGTATTTTGTATGAAAAACTCTTTAGGTGAGATATATTTTCCAAACATACTTATCGTAATGAGACTCCTACTGGCTTTACCATTTTCCAATGCATCAGTTGAACGTTTATTCAGTGATCTTAAAAACATAAAAACTCTGCATCGCAATAAACTTAAAACAGATTCATTGGTGGGGATTCTTAGGACAAAACATTCCGTTGAAGACTGTATTAATTTTAAGCCTTCAGCTGCAATGATTAAAAGCAAGATATGGGACTCCTCTAACACTAAAGAGAACTAATGAAACTATTATTTTTTAACAGTATTAGTTACCTATGTTTTTTATAATTTTAATTATAAAGAAAGTTGTGATATTATTTTCATAAATAAAATGTTAAGTATACTTAAATATTAAATTTGTACCAAATCCAAGAAGTGATATTTTTTTTTAAGTTATGTATTTATTAAATTAGTAAAAAATCTATGTGATATTGTTTTTTGCTAAAAATGTTATTTTTATTGTTATAAATTATAAGCATATAATATATAATTTAATATACATTAAACATATTTTATAATCCAAGTTGTGATATTATTTTCATAAATAAAATGTTAAGTATACTTAAATATTAAATTTGTACCAAATCCAAGAAGTGATATTTTTTTTTAAGTTATGTATTTATTAAATTAGTAAAAAATCTATGTGATATTGTTTTTTGCTAAAAATGTTATTTTTATTGTTATAAATTATAAGCATATAATATATAATTTAATATACATTAAACATATTTTATAATCCAAGTTGTGATTTTCTTTTCATTCAAAAAATAAAGTTAAACTTTTGTGAATTTATTTGTTTTAATATATATTGTTGGTTTATTATATGATAAAAATTAAAAATTATATGTACATTATAATAAGTCAATAAACATGTACAACTAATATATCTAGTCTATAGGTAGTACCTATACAGTACCTATACAATATTATATCGTATTAAGTACATACATTGAATATGGATATCATACTATATAAGAAAGCATACCCACGTCCTAAATCATAATATTATGTGTTTATATGCTTAAAATATTAATCGGTAAAAAGGGAGTATAGTAGCGAGCGAAGCGAGCGCGTTATATTTCTAAATTCTAATGTGGTATTCGTAGTGGTAATAATGATATGGTAATGTGGTAATTGTGGTAATTTTGTTATCATAAAATGGTAATATGACATTTTAAATTCGGCAACACTGCTCTTTAATTAGTAATTACTAGATTATTTATTCACTTGTTGTCACTGTAAAAATATATAATTAATTGTATTTGTGAGATAATTTTATTCGGATAATAATATTACATTATGAGATATTAGTTCTACTTTACATATTAATAATTTATTCCTTTGTATTAATTTTATTCAGCTGCCTCGGCGGCTTGTATTAGTTCGGTTATTAAATTAGCCAATTGGAGGCATGTGGGTGCGTGTATTTCGCGTACTAAAATTGTTAAACGGAGAGTCATAGTGATTATCTCCATAATTCTATTCATCTCAGCTGTAGTATATGGTACAGGTAAATGTTCATTGGCTATTCTCATATGGTTTCTTAGACACGTAGGTCCTTCACCGTTTATTATGTACTGGTTTACGTGATCGTTGTGCCTCAACGAGTATTCTAACATCATTAGGTATAATACCCGTCTAGAAATAAATTCTCGTGTTGGCATTTTGCATATGTATTTTATACGGTGTTTATAGGTTACGCGTTGTGGATTAAAATAATCTTGAGGTTCCGTATGATTGTCTTATCTGGAAACAAGACAAGATACTAATGTCGATTTTGGTTATTTAAGTTGTTATAAATTGATCAAATGAAATTTCGTTTAGCATTTATAAATCTTCCGTTTTTTAGCACTAAAATTAAATATGTTATTTTAAATTATTCTCGCTTAATAGCGTTTTATTTAATTCATTGTTTATACTTTTTAATTATGATTATGATTATGATTATAATTATTTATTTATTATATATATTTTTTTTTTTATTATTATTTACATACATGTTAATTATTTTTTTCTATACATATGACTACTCCTTTTAACTCAGATTCTCGTGGAACCTTTTTACGTGGTTTTTATGCACCGTAACGTGTCTTTTCCCGCGCATTATTACAATATTTTCCTTGTCCAATACATCGGTTACTTCATAGGGGCCTGTCCATAATGGATTAAGTTTATTCTTTTGCGCGCGTTCCCTTAATAAAATTTGATCTTTTACGTGTATTTCTATAGGGTTTTTATTGCTATCATAATTCTCTTTGGATTTTATTTTACATTTTATTAGCCTTTCTCTTGCTATTTTATGAGCCTCCTGCATTTTCTGTTTTAAATCAAAATAGTAATTGTCATAATTATATCTAGGTTCAGGTTCTCGTGATAGCTTAATTGGTATCTCTAAATGTTTACCGTATAGTAGAGAATATGGTTGATAACCCGTTGATGTGTGCTCCGTAGTATTATAAACGAAAAATGCGTAGGGCAAGTACTCATCCCAATTGTTTAATTTCTTATCGACATAATGTCTAAGGTAGTCTGATAATGTCCTATGTGATCTCTCCAAGGCTCCATTTGCCTCCGGGCGATAAGAACTTGTGTTTATTTTATTTATTTGCAATAATTTGCATACCTCGGTAAATATTTTACTTAAGAAATCGGTTCCCTGATCGGTTAATATGGTTTGTGGTATACCGTGTGTGCATACAAAATGTGTTACGAATGCTTCGGCTATAGTATTAGCTTGGTGATTTGGGAGGGGAACGCCCATGGTGTATTTTGTTAAATCGCATTGAATTGTTAATATATATGTATTCCCTGCTAATGTAGTGACCAACGGGCCAACGATATCTAAACATATTTTTTCAAATGGCTCAAAACTAGTGGTCGTAATTACCATCGGTTGTTTTACCTTTTTATTCGTGACCTTTTTCTTTTGACATGATGCACAATTCTTTATATATTCGATTACATCTTGTTTTAAACCTCGCCAATTAAATTGCGTTTTTATTTTCTTTATGGTTCTATGTATTCCGACGTGTCCGCCGGTTACGGAGTCGTGACATTGTTTGAATATGATTAATTTTTCCTCATCACTAAATTCTAACTTGGAACAAATAATTATGTCTACTCCTGTGTTTCGGAAAACATATCGAATCATAGCACGTACTTGAGCCCATTCTAATCGGTCGTTAAAACCTAATTTATTCATAGCTAATTTATTCAATGAGTGTTCTTCACATAATAGTTTTAAATTCAATAGAGACAAATAAATATTTTCGTATGTCGCCTTTTGTTTGTTTCTACTTTTGGTAGTTAAGAATATTATATATCTATTTTTGTCACGTAAATAATTTACTTCCCCGATTGCTTTGCTAGGTGTTAATTTCTGACCGTTGCCAAATTTTTGTTTTATTTCGTAATTTATTCCTGACATAAAATTATAATGTTTTTCTATCTCCGAGACTATGTGATATTCCTCGGGTGCTTCTATTAGATTACCGTTTACTTCTTTTACGTGTTTATTAGTTATTAACTGTGTTTCGAATTTATTTAAAAATGCGGGATAGCTTTCCTCTTTTATCTCATTTATGGTATACATTCTGGTCAGAGCATCGACGTTTGAATTTAATACTCCAGGTTTATAACGAATCTCATAATCGTATTCCTCTAAAAGTATTCGCCAACGTGCGAGTTTCGATAGGGGGTCCTTTAAATTAAATAACCATGAAAGTGCGCGGTGGTCGCTCATTATAATAAATTTTCTTCCGTATAGATAGGGTCTAAATGTTTTTACTGCGAATATAATAGCTAAACACTCAAGTTCAGTAGTACTATAATTGTTTTCACTTTTATTTAAAGTTCTAGATATATATGCAATAGGTAAATCCCGTGATACTTCCCCTTGGGATAATATGGCACCTAGAGCTTTTCCACTTGCATCTGTGGTAACGATAAATGGTTTTGTGAAGTCTGGATACTGTAATATAGGTTCCGAACATAGGATATTTTTTAATTTATCAAATGCTTCTTGGCAAGGGGTGTCCCAGTTAAAGGTAACGCCCTTCCTTAATAGGTTTGTCATTGGTTTTGCTATTAAGCTATAAGATTTTATAAATTTCCTATAGTACCCAGAAAGTCCCAAAAACGATTTGATTTCTTTAACGTTTGTTGGTGCTGGAAACCGTAATACTGATTCGACCTTTGCAGGGTCCGGTTGTATGCCGTTTTCACTAATTATATGACCTAAATACATACACTGTTGTTTTAAGAACTCGCATTTTGCTGGTTGTATTTTTAAGTTATGATTTCGTAATCGTTCGAATACGTCGCGTAGTTTTTCGTTATGATCAAGTAACCCTTTGCCGTATATTATTATATCATCTAGATACACTAAACATTTTATGCCTACGATACCAGCCATTACATTATTCATTAATCGTTGGAAAGAACATGGAGATGTTTTAAGACCCATTGCCATTTTTTTAAAATGCCAATGACCTTGGTTAGTTGAAAAGGCTGTAAGCTCTTTGCTTTTTTCGTCTAATTTTATCTGGTAAAAACCTGAAGCAAGATCAATAATACTGAACAGATTACATTGTCCTAGCTGATCTAATATTTCGGTAATGTTGGGTAGTGGGTGGTACTCGTTTATCGTTACTTTATTCAAAGCTCGAAAATCAACAACTATTCTAAATTTTGGTATTTGACTCGCGTCTAGTTTCTTTTTTACTAAAAGTAAGGGAGCATTCCATGGTGAAAAGGAGGGTTCAATAATGTCGTCCTTTTCCATTTGTTTGATTTGAGAATCTATTTCGGCCATTTGCGCGTGTGGTAAGCGATACGGTCGCTTATATATGGGCTCCTGATTCTCCGGTATATTAATTTTATGCGTTAACGTATTTGTATATGTTAACGTGTCTCCCGTTAAATGAAATATGTCTTGGTAATGTTCACATATTTCCAAAATAGTTTGCCTTTGCTCATTATCCATATGATCGCTCCTAATCAATTGTCTTATTTCTTTTATGCGTTTATTTTTATTATCGTCTTGTACTATTGACTGTGTATTATATTCGAATTCATGATCATATCGTATTTTATTTAAATTGCTTAACATAATGCTTTGGGGTTTTTCGGTTATATTTAAAATACTAATTATTACTTCACCGTTCTGTACGGTATTTATTACGCTTCCACAAAATACGCCTTCCATTATTTCTTGTTTGTGAATTAAAATATCTTTACTTTCTACATCCTTTGCAGCTATAGGTATTGATAGGATTGTTTCTGATCTTGGGGTTAATAGTAACTCTTTTTGTTTATTTTTGTTAGCATTAATTACTAGAGTTTTATTGGCTAGGTTAATTACAGCGTTATTTTCTGATAAAAAACTATTTCCTAATATACCATTTTTCCTTATTGGAAAGTTTTCGTCAACTAAATTAAATTCGGTGCTAATTTCTTGCCCTTGGATTATCAAAGGTATTGTAAGCTTGCCTATTGTTTGTATTATTTTATCGTTAATTCCTTTTAAATTTACTATTTGTGTTTTATCTACTACTATATCGTAATTTAATATATTGTTTTTTACTATATTTACTTCGCTACCTGTGTCGACTAAAAATTCTAATTCTTCATTTATACAGGCGGGTGATTTACATTTTATGTGATTATTGTTGTTTATTTTCGTTAATATAATGGGGTAACAATCTCGGATGGGTCCACGGATATGTGATTGATCGCACGTGCTCCGGGGGTCACGTGAGATGTCCGCTCGTTTCCCGAATTATTATTACGTCGCTCGTCGTTTTGTTTTTTATAACATGCGGCTATATTATGTCCCGGTTTATTGCAGTAAGTGCAGGTATCGCTCCTTGCATTATAATTAGTTGGTGGACGTGTGAAATTATTCTGATTAGGTGGTCTACTATTATACGCAACATTGTTCATTCGGCATTGCGATGCAAAATGTCCTTCGCGATTGCACGTATGACAACGCCTAACATTATAATTATTAGTTCTTGAGTTTGGGTTTCTATTAGTATTCCTATCGTAGGAATTGTTTCTGTTAGTATTATTATTATTAATATTATTACGATAGTTGTACGCTGCGTTTTGATTATTATTGTTATTAATATTATTACGATAGTTGTACTCTGTGTTTTGATTATTATTGTTATATTGTCTATTTTGATTCGTATTCCTATTGCTATACGTATTATTTGAGCGGAAAATCTCTTGTACATCATTGTAAGTACGAATATTTTTTTCGGTAATTAACGCGATTTGCATTGCCTGTTCAAGAGTGGTAGGATTTTTCGTTTTTACTTCGAATTTTATTTGGTCGCTTAAACCGTTTATGTAACTGACTAACGCTTGTTCCCTAATATTGTCACGTAATATTTTTGCTTCTACGGAAGTTTTGTCTATGGCCACTGTGTTACATAACTTTTGGTATATTTCTTCTACTCTATTATTGTACGCGCATATGGTTTCATTATTCCTTAATTTTATTATATTTAATTCGATTTGTAAATTAGCTGCAGCGTAAGGAGTTTCGAATGCGTCTAATAATATTTTTTTTCATATCTTCCCATACCTTAATTTCCTTATATCTGGTTACATTAAAAGCTCTGTCTGACAATTTAGTAGCTGCTATCATTTTTAACAT